CAAAGTTTCTTCTTCGGAGACGATAAAAGCCAAGGAAATTAACATTCGGAAAGAGATGCACCCTTGACAATAGGTTATTATTTGTGCCTGATTATGTATCCTGTAGTCAGCCTCTGCTACATCAAAACACACACAAACACACACACACAAACACAGGATTAGAACAAAAGGCGAGTCCCGCGGCACAGATTTGCGCAGAGAACATAATAGCTGATGACATGCGGCAGTTTGGAGGCTTTCAAAGCGACGCGGCTAATCTTCCTGCACTGGAATAACATTATTTTCTCCGCTTCCTCCTCCTCTTCGCCGCCCGCCCACCGGGGACTCGCAGGTTATTGTGTCCAAACGCACCCCAAGGTTAACCCACACAATGAACGGGCAGCGGCGAGCCACGCAGCCGGCTGATCGGGCTGCCCTGCTGATGGATTGTGATGAGGCAGGTGATCGTTTAGAATGGGGTTCAAACACAACAAAGAGACGTTTCAGATTGTAGCACCTTCACGCTGAACAATAAAGCAGAGAGGCTAGACTGCAAGGGAGATGAAAAAAAAGGGGGGGGAACAGAAGGAGACTGGAAAAAGTGTTTTTGGTGTCAATCCAGGTTTATATTGTGTGTTTGACAAAGAAACGTCTGTTCTTTGACCTCAAAGTGAGGACAGCCTAGAAAAACAATGACGATCGAGAACAATGGAGAGAAACCCCATAGCAAAACAACCAAATCTCAAATTTTAGTAGAAAGTACTTTGTCTCTTACTAAATACTTCAATCTGACATTTTCCTAAAACAAAACCGCCTTGTTAGATTCAATACAAGGCTAAAAACAAATAAAATCCAGAAATGGACTTGTTTTTCATCTGAGCAACCAAATTCAGTAAAAAGAGGAAATGAGATTCCAAAATCCATAGTCATAAATTATGGAGCGCATTGATTGTTTTTCACGTGCTCTGGCCATAAAAACGCTTCCAATGCTAAAACAAACACCAAGTAAAAAAAAAATTAAAAATTATTGGAACAATTAGTGCCCAATTTTCAACAGGTCCAAATTATTGAAGTGTTCAGTCCAACATAGAAGAACAAGCTGTAGTTACTGTAATGATCTACTCCGGTTCTGATCAATAAATCATCAGGCAATAACCTAACATTAATAATGTAAATTAGACTATGTAGTTACAAAAGATGTGCTGCACAAAGGAACAGAAACTTAAGAATATTCATCTAAAAACAAAACAGTCCTTCAAAGTTGATGTTTTATTCTATGTAGCCATCTGTCTAGGTTTTAAAACATGCTAAATCACATATGTTGTGATTTCCAGGCACATCAAGTGAATGTGCTACCTGCAGTTATGAAAATGTACCAAAAACAACTTAGAAGAAATGACACTTTGCATTATACCCGTATCTGATACCTGGATATTGGTCGTTTACAACCTTTCTAAGTTCACCAGGTGTTTGTTAATTGCTGCTGCCACTAGTCTGGTGGAGCAGTGTGAAAGAGGGGAGGCTCTGTGGACTGGATGCTGGGTCCCAACCCAACTCCAATGGGACTGAAGCTCCAATGAGGAGATTTAGGGAAATGGTATGAACAACCGAATGGCTGCCTGCCACTGGAGGATCCAGGTTTTCTCAAACATGCATGAATAAATCAGAGAAATAATCTGGGTACGTGCTTTATCAGGGAACCACATTATAAAATGACAGAGCTCAGGAAAGTCAACTTTGCATAACATCCCCCCTCTAAATCTTTTAATAGTACAGTTCCTAAGAAAAAATAAAACTCATTCAAAGCTTTACAAAAACATGAGACTGAAAAAAGCTATGTTCTGAAACGAGGAAGGATAGAAGTAACAATCCTCAACATTTTTGGAAGATTGCAAAGATTAGTGTTCATCATCAGTAATTGGATGCACATTACTTTCTGAAAACTGAAATGCTAATGAAATCACGTTTCCTCCTCTAGAGATGTTAACATCCACGCCATGTAGCACAGAGGCTTATTAGCTAACATCACAACAAACAGGCCAAAAAAAAAAACATGATTAGCTGTATTGTTGCTGATCTTTAAGATGACTAGCAGCTCCAATCCCATCACTGCCGTGTGGTGAACAAGTTCAGAGAATAAGAAGGAAGCCAAGTTGTCTCTGAGCCCATCAGATGCTGTGGCTGCAGGACCCGATGTAGTGCCATCCATTTGTTATCGTAGCTTACAGACTAGTCCCTGGGAGGCATTAGCAGTTGTTGGCCATAAATCCAGTTTTGCTTTTGTCACAGCATTTGTATTTCCCAGGAGAATGGCATAACAAGTGGTAAAATGTAACAATTTAATTATTTTTCAAAAGAGTCCATGTGATTAAAAGCACACCACTTTGGTTTAAAAATTCACATTTGGCAGGCTAAAGAGTAAAAGCAGTTGCATCTATTTTTTTTGCAACACTTTCAAACATTTGCAAAGATTACCCCTTCAAACTACAACCCAAATGAATCCATGTAAAAATGACCAAGCAGCAGGTCGTACCCATCCACTCCTGTGTCTCTTGTTTCAACCTCGCATTATTCTGCACACTCAGATATGATCAGCTCATAAACATTTATGTCCGGCTTTTAAATCAGATACCCCCGGCAGTCATTTTCCTTGTAAAATAGCGGTAAATGTGTATTTAACCTCCATTAGACCCCATCTCCTCCCACATATATTAACTTGTTTGCATTCACTGACGGATTACAGTCTGTGCCCGACATGCAGCGGTAACTCTGCATGCTGACGTCGTCCTCCGCAGCCCTGCTACAACCCTGATGCCAAAAAGCATCAACGGCCACATTACCGATTCAATATCCCGCTCAGAAGGGCGGCTAATTGTGGAACCTTCCTGAAGCGACGGTGGGCTGAAATTTTACTTCTGAACGAGAGTGGGGGAAAAAAAAAAAAGCACAAATGAAGAAGAGGATGACCTTCAGAGCAGCTGCTCTTTTACCAAAGGTAAAATAAATTAGCCTTAATATTCATCAATCTGCACGCAGTTGGCTAATGAGAGGCCGAAGGAAGCCAATTAGGGACAATTTAGGATGTTTACTCTGAAATTTTACCCTTAAACTGCCAGGCAGTGTCTCAGCAGTGACTCCCAGCTTATTAAGAGTTTTCCAAATTAAAGTTTTGCAGATTTAGTGTGGTGGTCGTGTTGTCTCTCATTTGTCTTTTAACTTCTACATTTATCTCTGACAACACAACAAGAATAGAGTCTAAAGATGTACAATTTAAGAGGAGTATTACCAGTGCCTGATAAATGTATTCAGACCTCATCATTCCCCAAACCTGATGCTCATCACTGCGCTGCATGTTATAGGTGCGTTTCCTCTCCAGATGTGTATATCTGGAGCTGGGTAACTCCCAGCAGTTCATTTAAACCAGGTGTGTAGCAGCAGGAAACACCTGAACCATGCAGGACATGCAGCGGCCCCTGAGGAGCGGGGTCAGGGACCCCTGGCTTAGAGCGATCCTAACCAACCAAAGAGCTCAGTGGGAGAAACTAAATATACCGCAGAGGAAGTTGTTTTTAGATAACAAAGCATGCAGTGTGCCATATTAGAACTTTAAATCACCAAGACTGGGAAAATGAATCTTAATTCCTCAATCTGCTGCCGAGATACTGGTTAGCAGCTTCCTAAATGTCAAGATTATATCCTCTGTTTTACTGCTTTTGCCAAAATCTTTACAACTAAAGACACAAATGAGAACTGAGAAAATAATATGGCAAAAATCAACCACTTAGGATGATATTTTGTTCCTTTGCTTCACTAGTGGGAAGCTCTTTTGGTCTCAATGTTCTAACAAAAACAAAACAGGCTTCCTAATGGGAGCTCCTGGGTCCTTGCTAAACAGATTTCATCTTTTTGACTGATGAACCAGGAGGTGCAGAAGTCATCCACCTCATTAGCAAAATGATCAAAATTCTCCACCCTCAGGCCATCAACCTGCCAACGTGTGAGAGTGAAGCTGGTGTGGCAACACCAGGAATATTCCCAAGTGAAGAAAACCGTTTAAAGGCAGCAAAACAGTTGGATGATTTACAATTGATACTATAAAAATATTAAATAAAACAATATTAAGCATGACGTGACGTCAGGGTTTTTAATCTCAGAAAAGTCAAAGTACGCATGATATTCCCGAAACCCTATCCGATCGAAACTGTTTGACTATACGGGCTATACGAAATATTGATCGGTTCAGTGATTGGTCCTTTCGGGAGACTAAAATCCCCCTGTGGATGAATCATTGATGAGCATAAACGCCGCTCGCAGCTGTGCGCCGCCAGGTACCTGGAACCAGAACAAGAGGATTTCTGGACTCAAATATCACCTCTGCTGAGCTGAGAGGGGACTCTGCGGCTGTGGGAGGACCGGGACCGAAGCAGTCCAAACCCACACACAGACAAAAACCACACCAGTGAGACCCATCACTGACAATCCACCTTGCGTCTTAGAGGAAGACAAAGACATCCACCCAAATCCCGCCGTTAGGGGTGTCTTAGCGCAACGTTTTCACGGGATTTGCCTCCCAAACACACGCACCCAGAGCCACCAGCCTCAGCGAGCCAACAGACGGACTGGGACCGAAGTTGAGCCGCGACTGAAGGTGCGCGGCTCCTGCAGATGCACGTGTGTCGGAGGTAGTTTGGTCGGTCAGCTGCGCGGCTCACGTCCAGCTCACGTCCAGCTCACGTCCAGCTGACCGGCAGGTGTCAGTCGGAGGTGTGAAACGCGCACGCGCTTCGTGAGAAAACCACGAGCACGAACAAAGGTCACAAGAAAACAACTATTTAATCTGTTTATCGCACAGATACTCACTCTATGCACTCAGCCGTGAACGCGCGCACACACGCACACACACACATACACACACACACACACACACACACATACACACACACACACACACGCAGAGTGGGGAAAAGACGCTGTTCACCGTTTATAAGGGAAAAGCTCCCTAAGAACAAGTAGAAACGCACCTTTCAGTCTGCAGACTCCGTTGAGGCTTAGTCCGTTCAGCCGGAACATTCACATTAATCCACAGCCGTTCCGCTTATTTCCAAAATCACACCGGGACCGAGCCGGTAAGAGGATCCTTTCCCAGCCGGCACCGAGAGGTTCGTGCAAATAAATCCACCACGCGGAGACGGAGCCGGGGACGAGGTGCGCCAACTCCGGGTCAAACCACACAATGAGGCGTTTCTCAGCAGCCCAGCGTCTCCTGGCCCCGAACCACGCCCTCCTCATTATCATAATAGATTGACTGGAGCCAATCAGAGAGCGGGACGGCGCGCCTCTCGTTCAATTTAAAGTCGCTGTGAATTTCTGACTGACTATCCACAATAAGAGTCGTAACTTCTTCAAGTAACTGATATATTAAATTGAAATAAAAAATTTTACTCAGTTTCGAATCTAGGCTGAATGCCAAATAATCATAAACAAATACCATAATGAAGTAAACCAACACACTAAATATGTATTAGCTTGTTCCTGCTCTGCATCCCCAGAACCAGAACCAAACATGGAGAAGCAGCATTCAGCTTCTATGCACCACAAATCTGGAGCAAACTTCCAGAAAACTGCAGAACAGCCGAAACACTGAATGCCTTTCAATCTAGATTAAAAACCCATCATCTGTTTATAGCTGCTTTTGAAACATAATCAATGAAACATTAATCAACAATCTGATTAATGTCTAATCAGATTGACATTGATTAAATGTTAAAGTTTTTGACAAACTTTAAAGCAAATGTGGAGAGAGATGTCTTAAGGTCCTCTAATGCAGATTAATAATGAATTGTACTCCATACCAAATGGGGTTTGGGAAACCCCATGATAAGTGAACGAAGAGCGAAAACATACAATTTAAAAGGAGTGACGTTGAGTCTAATTAACTAGGTGTTTTGATGCAGAGCATGACTGCAGGAGCAGAGGGAAAACAAGCAACTGATAAAGATTTAACACCTTGGGATTCACTTTAATAACGAACTCAACACAAGAAAACACAGCAGGCACGACCAAACGCTAAGATAATCAGACAGGCATGAACAGAACAACAAAACTGAAAAACAAAATGACGAAGTCTGGATCATAAAGATAAAACTCAACAGACTGTCATTTTGAACCTATTATTTAAGCTTCTACTTCTTTAAGTGCATCTAAAACAAATGGATTGTTTCTCAATACACCTTACCTCATAAATCTAAATATGTGTCCTCTTGTGAATTATCACAATAAGCTGTGGCAAAATGGAAATACAAGAAATTCTGGTCTTCTCTCTTAAAAAAGTTACTTTTGTATTAAATGTTTTCTCAAGTATAATCAATAAAACAGGTTATTGACATGGTCTAGATCTTATTTGAAGATTTTTGTTCTTCACTGCAGAACAAAAATCCTCCTGAAGCTAATTTAAATGTTTTGACAAAACAGTTAAACACTTTTGAGATGCAGTGTGGCCAGAAAAACCCAAACTTGTACAGTTTAAATGTAAAATTTGACTCATCATGTTTGGAGGAGAGGCAGCACTGCACATCACCTCAGATAAACCACAGCAACCACGGAGTCTGGACTGGGAACATGCTGGTTATCTCTGAGCATAATGGTGAATTAAATAATGGCTGAATGGAGACCGTTTTGGTAAGAGTAAGACAGATAAGAGCCCAAACAGAGCCATGGAAACTCTTAGCTTGTTTTACTTTCTTTGCAGACGTTTCTTTGTTGGGATTCATGTTGAGGTAGAGATACAGTTACAAAAATAAAGGCTGAGACGCTCATTAATTATTTTCTCCGCTGCACACTTACGGTCTGAGTTGTGGAAAAGTGAGACGTCTAATTTCTACACTGCTTGCTGGAAATGTACCTACTGAAACTGGTATCAGTGAAAAGAAGAGGCTTGTCTACTCCAGAGTGCGCCCCACTGTTGTAAAATGATTTCCTGGAGGAAACTTCAATTAAATTTCCGGCTCACAAACTGAATTTATTTCTCAGCAGGATAATTAGAGTCAAGTAAAAAAAAAAAGAAAGAAAACTGAAGGAGGTACTGCAAATGCAGCACCTAGATTAGAAAGCAAATCCCCTCTGCTGCATCTCTGTCCGTTTATCTGTCTGCCCTTCATCAGATCCTCCTCCTCCTCCTCCCTCACAACTCTGTTTATGAAAAACAACAAATTAAAGGATATGAGAGCTGCCAATATCTGGGGAAATAAGTTTCCAGTTGTGCTTTGTGTTAATGTTCCTGTGTGGCTGATTAAACTGCAATCTCTGCATGTTTACTCCGTCCTCCCTCCCAACCACAACGCTCGCCCACATTTCCACTGACATGTAGGGAAGCAGGAAGCAGCAGGGGGTCCAGGTAATTCAGAAGCTCTCTTCAGTGGCAGCAGAGGAAAATTTGAGATCATCCATCTCCATAGCCGTGTTACAGATGCAAACAACAAGCATCAGTCTTCTGGTGGGTTCAAAACATCTCCAGGTTGGGTTTCAAACCTGATTGCCTGGTTTTTGGTCGTGATTTCTCAGAAATGTTTTGCAACAAGGTGCAAAATCTCAAAAACAAACAAAAAAAAAACAAGAAACTTAATGGGAAACACTGAGAATATCAGTCAGCTGAATTACTGTTTTGTTTATACACTGAAAACATCCCAATTTGTACATCAGATACACACATTTATTTCCCCCCTGGGATCAAAAAACAGAAATCCATGACTTTAAACCTCATTTGGTTTTATTTTTCTATGTACTGTAAACAAATTTCAGTCAGCACTCCTCTTGGATCTAGTGGATGTTGTAATTTGTAAAGCTGTCTGAGTTATATGATGCTTTTCAGGGAAAGAGCCACAGTGTCGCTGCCTGAAGTCTGATCAGAGCAGCAGATTGAGGCACCTACATACAGTCCAAATATTAAACACCAGCTGGAGGAGGGATTTCTCACCACGACCCAAAAGAATGAAATGCATGACATAAATAAATGCATGAGCGTTTCCATTTCTCCCTGCCACTTCGGCAGCTTTTAGTCGTCGCTCTCGTCGGAATAGAATCAATAAATCAGACGCGTTCAACCCCTCTGGGCTCGAACACAGACACTAAATCACATCAGCAAATGTCATAAAACACACACTTTGAATGAGTTTCATAAAGGGGAGCCTTCATCGGATCGCGGGAGCGTTCCCGCCGGAGCCACACGGAGTTAAAGATGGAAGAAATGCATCAACCTCTGAGCCGAAACAGCCTTTCTGTTTATTCGTCGTGTTTCTTGTGTTGCATGGAAAGAGAGATCAGAACAAGCTGGGTACGGCTAAGAGGCAAAAAGCAGGAGATGTGGCTCATATGGCTCTCTATCAATATTAATGTGGACATATAAACCACACACCGATCCACAGGGTGAGGGAACAGCTGCTGAGCATATAACTTGATGGTTGGTAGACCTCATAAAACGCAACATCTGGGAAACTTTGCTGGGGGAAAAAAGGCAGATTTTAAAGTTTTGTGTGTCTATGATGTTTCTGTTTTTTGTAAAAACTTAATAATTTTAAAGGAAGCAAGATAAAAACTGATGTATAATGAGTTTGTGTCATGGAATATTTGTTGTGATGTTTGAAACGTGTAGAAATGCCATCAAAGTTATTGTAGACAAGCAAATTGAAAGGTACTGCTTCTAATAGAATAGAATAGAATAGAATAGAATAGAATAGAATAGAATAGAATAGAATAGAATAGAATAGAATAGGATAGAATAGAATAGAATAGAATAGAATAGAATAGGATAGAATAGAATAGAATAATGGTGGACAAACAGCTTAAAAAGCAAACAGAAGAAGAAAACAAGAATCAAAAGCAATGAAGGATTAAAACCGGTCACTTTGTGAATAAACTATTTCTATAGAAAGGCTCGATAAGTACTAGATGCTAAACAGAAACATTTCTCCAGATTATTATTAATTATCAAACATCTAATCTGCTGAACTACTTTCTGTTGCCTCTGCTGCCAAATAAATGGGAATGAAGAACCAGACATAAACTGGTTGGATATCAGGCAGGTAAAAAGCCCATTAAACAAATTAACACTTAACAAAACAGTTCAAATTACATTTATTTTTCTTGTACTTATGTTTTGTGTGGTTTTCTCATTTCCAATTTGTTTTAGTTGTAAAATCTATTGTGGTTCTTGTTCATGTTTGGGCCAGTTCACTCTTACAAACCGTGACAGATTTTGACCTTTGACGAAACCAAAGTAGCTCTAAGAAACATCCTGGTGGATTGACTGAGTGGAACATAGAAATTTACATGAACTCATAGACGTCGTCCCCCTCACAGGCATTAATTAATGCAACGTCAGCTTCGCTTCGCACTAGAGAAAGTTACAGAGCGATGAAAAACTCCAGGTAGGAAATGATGCAGGGTTGAAATGACCGGCGCCGTTTCCAGCAGGGTGAGAACTTTAGCTGCTTTATTTAACAGCTGTTACCTGCTGCTGCTGCTGCTGCTCTGGGCGTCTGATAGGGATGCCTCCCAGGTGCCTCCCTCTGGAGCTTTTTCTGGTGCGACCCAATTGGAAGTGAGCCCAGAGCAGACTCTGGGTTTCCCCACTGTACCTGTTCTGCCCAGAACCTGATGATACACACACTCAAATTACTGGATATAACCTTCGTTCCTTAAGTCTAGATATTAAAAATGTCCCCTTCTTTGCTGGAGCTCGCTCTATCAGTGGGCTCTCCATGATGGCACACAGGAAGTTTGGCATAGCTGGACGTTATTAGCAGTAATAACTCGGCTAGTGTCCGTTTCTAGGTTGCTCAGGTTATTCTATCTCAGGATTTATTTTAGCTATTGGTTTCTTAAAGCTCTTCTTTGATATTGATTAATGATTTTCATTTTCCATTTTGTTTTGCTGATTTCTTATATTTATATATTTGTGTATACATCATTCATAGGTTCATACATGAATCTACAAAGTTAAATCCAAATAAGTTGCTGCTGGCCATTCCTCCAGAACTCAATGTTTACACTCGCACATGAAAATGGCTGCAAACAGATGCGCAATTATACAACCGTATGTCTTTGAAAAACAGAAATGGAGCCTGCAGCACAATCAACAACAATGCCACAAGTGGTTTGTGAATGGTGAGTCAACAATAAAACACTTGTCTTTTCCAGCAGCCCTTGTACAGCGCATACAGTAGTAAAACCAGCTGACAAAATATGCTGGAACTCAGCTTTGGTGATGGGCTGGGCTTCTGC